CGACTTCCTTACGCAGACATGGTCACGATCATCTCATCCAACAGCGGGACGGTGATGATGGTCACTCCATCCATTCGCGGTTCGACCCCGGCCAGAGTAGCAGTGGAGGTGATCCTACGTCGCACACAGAGGCAGAGGAGTACATCTTCCACAGTTCTGCACCCTTCAGAACCCAGGAGGACGCATCGTCCAGCCAGCTCACTCCCCCCCCCCCCCCCGCGCCGGAACCCATTCACCACCATTCACCATTACACTCGGCGTCGTCCAAGACGAAGGGACGACAGTGAGGCTAGGGAAGGGTTACACCAAATTGATGAGTAGTGAACGTATTGTATCATTGTTTTGTCCTTTTTCCTGGAATGTTGTATATAACGATTGCATTATCAATATAAGACATGCTGGTTGAATGAATTTGTTTGTGTTTTGAAGTTTTGTTTGCTTATTTATCCAAATCGGATTTATGTTAGTCAAAATAGATCCTTCAGGGCTAATGTACATTAAACAACTGACATTTGGAATCCATAGTCGAAAATGGGGAAGAAAGGATGGCCCGTGGTGGTTAATGTGGTTGTTCATGGTGGTTTTAGTGTTGTTGGTTGTGGTGGGTGGTTATCGACGGTTGTTGAATGGTTGGGGTTGGTGGTGGAGCTGGTTGAAGTGTTGTTGGAGGTCAAAAGTGGTGGCAGATGGTGGTCGATGGTGGGGGTTGTTGGTGGATTGTGGTGGCAAGAATCATGGCAGGGGGTGGCAGATCAGTGGCAAAAGGCTGATTCTGCTGCTGTTTTGCACACCAGCAGAGAAACGCTGTCCCAGACAGCGTTTTAGGTTGAAAATAAGACGCTGTCTGAGACAACGTTTTAGGTACAAGGAAGTTTGTACATAAAGCGCTGTCTGGGACAGCGTCTTTGGTACCAACTGTTTTTGTTTTTTAAAAACATTTTTATAAATAAAAGGCAATTACAAAAATTTTAAAAAAAAAAGGTCAACAACAAAGACGCTGTCCCAGACATCGTTTTTAGGTTGATTTTTTTAAAAAAAAAAAACCCAGGCATAAAACGCTAACCGAGACAGCGTTTTAGCCTGGAAGCTTAGTTTGGTAAATACTTTTGCCACGCAACCATTTTGGTTAATATTTGCCAAAATTGGCTCACTTTGAAAAAACGTCCAACCAGAAGACCCGTGTAGTCCTGATTATTGTAAAGGCAATTGTCGTTGCTCCAATGATAACAGTGCTTGTTGTTGTTATTTAAATTATAAATAACTTATCCGTGCCATACATAAGGCAATATTTTTCTTTTGGTGATGTCTTGAGGGTGACATTTTAATACCATCTATCTATATTAATAACCCAATAACTTTATACAAAAAGCGAAACCGAGATGTCATCGTCAAAAATTTTCCCTCCATTTTGTTTTTTTAATTATTATTTTTTTAATTTTTTTTGTCAAACCTTCATGAAAGTATTTAAAGCTTATACTATATAATCTCTTTTCACATTGGATTTATAATTTTCCACATATACTCAAAAATAATATGTTTACATATATTTTATATTAAGTACAAAGTAATATATTATAAAATATGAGCATAAATAAATAAGTAGTATATTAGGATAACATTATTATCCATAATATATACGAAGTATAAAATAGGAAAAAAATACTTTAAATAATCCAACCTTTGCACTGTTCTCTCAAAATAATCCCACATTTTGATTATTTCAAATTAATCCAACCTTTTACTCCCATCTTCCCATATCAACCCCAACTGGTCACCTTGCTTACGCTAACGTGTCATTTTTATTGATTTGGTTTAGTGTAATCTATTAACTATTCTAAAACAAAAAATTGCTAACAACATCATCAGTTTTGAAACAATATTTCGTGTCATTCTCACATTAAATTTTTTCCCTCCAATTTTATGATGTCATCAATTATTAATAATATATATATTTTTAATCTACACTTTTGACTTTAATTCATAAATGTCTATATATAACTCAATTAACCAAGTTTCTCTCCTAAATTATAGTTTCACATACCTAATTTGTTTGATGTTTGGTTGTGGTTTCAATTTTATTTACTTTCCTTAAATGTAAGTAAATTATTTTTATATTTAATTCTAATCTTCATGTACAATGAAAAGCAACTTAATACAAATTATAAGAAAGGTTAATTTTAACCGTGCATTGCACGTGGATAATCTAGTTCTCTAATATTATAGTATTTTAATTTACACATATTTTATGAAGGAAAGGTTTGTACAAATCTAATTTCCAGTATTTATTAATGTCAAATAATTTTCATAAACTTTAAGTTTTGGGATGAAACTTATTTTAAGGAGGGCAGATTATAATATCCAAATTTTTCCTAGTTTTAAGATGAAACTTCTTTTAAGGAAGATAGATTGTAATACTTGCATATTTTGAAATCACATAATATATACGTAGTAAAAATAATATTTTATTTCGTATATTTTATATTATATTCTATTATGTAATAGAAGGTTTAAAACCCTATTTTAATTTAAATATGACAATATTTTAAGCGTATATAAACTATTTTAACCCTATTAAGTTTTTTTTATACATAATATTGTGCAATCATTTTAATATAAAATCCTTAGCTTTTTCTTTACTCCATTATGTTCGTGGGTTCATAGCAGCCATATGAGCTATCAATGTTTACTTCTTATTCCAAGTCATGCACATAAGTTATGATCAAGCAGTAACAAGTTTGGAGTAATCATGTGTAATTACGACATTGCACCCTTCTGTTAGATCTATTTTATCCGGTATTCACACGAAACTTTGGAGATGTTTGTATAATATTTTGCATTATTATGTGTGGTACGATTTATTAATTGTAATCTTGTGTGTGTATGTGTATATATGATTTATTATTATGATATTTCTACCTCCGTTATATGATTCGATTTGATTTGAATATCGTATTATTTTTGTTGTATATAATTGATTGTATAATAATTTCTAGGGTTTAATATTGTTGCTATAGGGAGTTTGTTTTATCGAGGTTTTAGGGTTATTAATGCAGAGCATTATTTTTGGGTTGTGAGCTAATTATATTTGGGTAATAGTTTTATTGCCCTATAAGAGTTGAGATATACTATATATATATGATTGAATGGAGTTTGAATTGTTATATTTTTGAGAACATTATGTGCCTTTATTGAGATATTATTTATTAATAGCTTGTGAATGGTTATTTGATCAAGTATGAGATCAAAATTAAAAGTTGAGAATTATTATTTTGCTCTTGGTCTGAGGTTCGACGTTATATATAAACCTTAGTCCTTGGCATCTTAGTAAGGAGACGATAATCACGAGTTAAGAATGAGGTACATTCTTTATATTTATTTTAGGGTTTTTCTAAACTATACCCCTAAGGTATTTGAGTTTCTAAGGTGTACCCATGCTTTTTCAAGTTTCTAAGTTGTGCCCCTCAACTCACTACCATTAATGAATGGTACCCTGTTTGGGACTTCCACGTCACCTAAAGTTAACTATAAATTTAATAGAAAGATGATTAAAGGTAAGGAAATGGTAGGAGAAAGAAATCTTAGCCACCGTAACCCTAATAATGAAAACTGAAGCCACGAAATCACACTCTCAAATAATTTTTAAACAACTAATAAGGGTACATTTTAGTATTGATAAGGAGTTGAAGGGCACAGATTATAAACTTGAAAAAGCATGGGTACACCTTAGAAACTCGAATACCTTAGGGGTATAGCTAAGAAAAACCCTTTATTTTATTATGGTCCCTATAGTGGGATTCGACCGATTTTGGTCATGGTTTGAGGTGTTTTCTGGATATTGAGAGTATTTAAGTTTTTATACTTGCTGGTTTATTTTCGAATTACCCATGTCCAAGTAGGCTAGGTATAGAACAAAGAGCACGACACACTTATTGTTTAGACGAGTTTATTGTGTAAAGGATTGTATTGTTATTCTAGGTTTAGTTGATAAATATTATTTTAAGCGTACAATGTGTAATGTACTTTCGAATTATATTGATTGATTGATGAGCTAGTAATGTTAATTAATTCATTATTCTTTGTATTGTGATATGTGGTTAACTCATGTTTTTTGCTGACGTGTTGTATGTTGTTTTTGTTGTGCTGCTTGTGTTTGTGGCAATGTTTTTTTTCTTGTGGTGGCCCCGCGATGATCTATTTTGGAATTTGCCCTCGGTGGTGAGCAATCAAGTTTGTCTAAAGAGGTTGATAAAGTGATCATAGCTAAAGGAGCTCAAGTGTTTCGATTAGTATGCTATAACGACTTTGTAAATTATAGTTGTATAAATAGCTCACTTAGTTTTATTGAGTTATAATTATTGGGATTTTGTAAGCTTTACCAGTTGACAAGTTGTCGAGAGTGGCAAATACCTTCGACATAGGTGTATGCTTCCGCACTTTTATTTAAAGTTTGTTTGTTTTTCTTTAATTCTTGTTTATTACTTCCTCCGTTTCTATTTAGTTGATGCTTTTGATTTAGGCACATATATTAAGGAGAGGAGAGAGAGTGAGAGAGAATGAAAAAGCAAGTGGGGTTGCTTGTAAATGTAAGGTAAAAATTTTACCCAAAAAGGAAACATGTCAACTAAAAAAAATTCCTAAAAAGGAATACGTGTCAACTAAAAAGAAATGGAGGTAGTATTAGTTTGTAAATGGAAGGTGTTACAAAACTCATAATAATAACAACATTGATGTGATTAAAATTTATGCTATATATATATAAGAATAAGGACCCTCATAGTTTTTTATACGATATTTGCGGGTTAGACACTTTGAGTGTGAGGGGGGAAGGGTAAGAGATTCTCACCCTAAAAGTGCCTCTAACGGAGATTAAACCTCCAACTTTAAGGTTAAAAGGTGCAATATCTCCCACTAGATAAGGAGGAGTGCCCAGTTTATCTCAACGATAGACATAAGTTGTAAATCGGATGGCAGTAAATATTTCGAAATCAAAATGGGCTAGATCATTTCAAATTTGCTAGATTATCTACATGTGTAAAAGTAAATAAAGTTTTCAGAAACACATGCTATTCTTGATAACAAACGACCGCTTGTTCCCTTTTGACGAACGTTTTCTAAATTCTAACCATGGTTAGCTGCAGTCCTCGTTCTTTTTTCCCCAAAATTCAGAGATTGAACTGTAGAAGCAAGGGAAGTCGAAACCCTAAATTTTTTTCCCCCAAATTTGTGCTATCTTCATACTAAATTGGAGCTGCTCGATAGTCGATTGAAGCTCGAAGATGTCAATTTACTGAAGCTTGAACTGGTTCGCCTAATCACAAAAGGTATGTAATTAGAATATACAATGTAATCGTATTTGAATTATTCGGATCTTGTTGTTGGGTCTTATGCGATATAGAACTTCGTGTATTCCACATTTTAGGAATTGAAGGGTATTGTTAAATGTATTTGGTTGTGTTGGGGAGTTAGAAGCTGCTTATGTATATGTTCAGATTTTCATATTAGTGATGGAGTTCGACCTTTAAATTTCCCAATTGAATGTTTTTTTTTCTTTTTAGTGTGCAATTAAACAAATTATGTCCTTCTGTATGTGTCAGTATTCTATATTAGTGTTGCATTCTGACTTCCGAGTGTTGAATTAGTGTATAATTAAATATACAATAGCGCTAATGGTGTGTTCTATTAGAGATGAATAAATGTACTATTGCATTCCCAATACAAAGTTCTGGTGTCCTATTTTGTGGTGTCATATTTTGTGATTATTAATGAAACCTTTAAATTCCCCAATTGAAGGGTGATTATTAATGAGACCTCCTTTAATATTCAGATATGATGGAGAACCTTGATAGGGGAAGTGGAGTGGATGTTTGTGGTCTAGGTGTCGAAGTAATGCCACATAGAGAAGTAGTTGACTTTGAAGATGGGAACTCTCCTGACATGCAATGTATGGACCTAATTGCACATGCATCTCTACCTCCAACAATTGAAGATGGACTTGATGGTTGTGTTCAAGGTGAAACATGTTATAGGATCCCTACCCGTACAATACAGACTATGCACACGGTTGTATCTAGTAACAAAATCAGTGTTGTTAGTGTAGTCGAGGAACCTAAGGAGGGCATGATTTTTAAAACTTGGCAGGATGTTGAAGCCTATTATAAGAAATATGCTGAACAACTTGGGTTTGGTGTCATCAGCGTTCAAGGTTCATTCTCTAAGAAGGATAAGGAAAGGAGGGGGACTACATGGAAGTGTGAATGTTGGGGGAGACCGAACATGAGAGCAGTGAAAGCGGCAAAGAAGAGGGCTAAATCAATGGAAGTTGCTGGCTGTAGTAATTTAGTTGGAGGGGTTATTGCGGAGCCTGAGTTGAATTGTTGCAAAAGAAAGTCCAAAAAGTGTGAGTGTGGTGCTAAGATTTATGCTAGTGTTAATGACGATGGTGAGTGAGAGTTGATAAATGTTATTTTGAAGCACAATAACCATGATTTACTCCCAAACGGAGCGAAGTTGGTGAAAAAGATAGAATGAAGCAAATGACATCCACTTAGGGATGACAATTAAATCCGATTTCGATTCGAATCCGATCCGATCCGAAGGAAAAAATCCGATTCAAATCCATTTAAAATTAGTCCGAATCTGAATCCGATAAAATAGATCCGAATCCGAATAGGAGGTGGATCGGACTTGGACCCTACGCAAATTTCGATGGAGTCCGATCCGAGTCCGAATCCGAGAGTATAAGCATATGCTCTATAACTTGGGACAATTATTTGCTTGTTTTGTAGCAAAATTTTGTTGTGTAACTTAGTTTATAATTTAAATATGTTATGTTTATACTTTAATTGGTATGACAATACAAGCAATTATAGGTATATATATGACATTACAAAAAATAAAAATAAAAAAATATTCAGACCATTTCGGAGGTCCGAATAAACGGACCGTATTCGGCTCCGACAATTACGAGTCGGATCAGATTCGGACTTGGATTTTTCGGATTCGAACTCGAATTCGGATCCAAGTCCAGGGTCCGTTTACTAAACGGATCGGATTTGGATTTAGCCACATCCGACCCGAATCCGATCCGTTGCCATTCCTACATCCACTGTTAGGAAGAGGTTGGTGAATTATTATAATGAGGGGGTACCCGTATCTCGTATACATGGCTGGACTGCTATTGAAATGGGAGGGGTTGAGAACATGTCGATGACGGTTAAGGATTTCCAACATGAGGTTTACAAGAAGCGCCGCCTTAGGATGGAAGGTGGGGATGCGACTGCTATGATGTCATAATTTGAGTATATGATGGCCGATAGTCAGAATTTTTTTCATGCTAATCGTTTAGATGAAGAAGGTCGGTTAAAAGATGCGTTGTGGGTTGATGCTCGTAGTCGAGCTGCTTATGAATACTTCGGGGATGTAGTGTGTTTTGATGCTACATATTTGACCAATGAGCATGAATTGCCGTTTGTGAATATTGATGGGGTCAATCACCATGGACAGTCTATTCTATTGGGGTGTGCATTGGTGTCTCATGAAGGCACAGATACGTTTAGATGGATTTTTCGGCAGTGGCTGTGTTGCATGGGGAATAAATCCCGGCCGGTATCCTTACAGATCAAGTTGCTACGATGCGTAAGCCGCTAGAAGAAATTATGCCAAACACTATACACAGGTGGTGCATCTGGCATATCATGTCGAAATTCCCTTACAAGCTTGGAAAATGCTCGATGTAAGTGATCTTATTCATGTCTTTAACTGTTATATGTCATGTTGACTTTTTAATCTTGTTTGAGATTAGCTGATATATAGTAGAGTATGTGGTTTATGGTGGATATATATACACTAGTAAGGGTATCAAATCAATGTATTACCTTGTATAAAGTGTATAAATTTAGTTTTATTCTGTCAAGTAAGTACTTGTAAATTATGGTGTTATGCGACTAAAGCTAGTGGTACTAAAGGGGGTCACTAATTGTTCATTAGTTTCATTAGCTAAGTTTCTTTACTCAAAGTAAATAAATCATCAACTGCCATATTTAAGCCTCTATATTGTCTATAGTGGCCTCTAAATCAGGTTAATGTTTTCAATGATAACCAACTTATACATAAGTGGTGAACATTGTATGACTTAAAGGAAAAAAAAGTAGATATATAAGAAGCAGGTAAGTGAACTATGGTTACTGTGTAATTAAACATACCCCTCCTGTAATATTGCACGTTTAATTACAATTGTGGTTTATGTTATATATATATATATATATATATTCTTTGTTTTGTGGTTGAGGTTATGAATTTTGACATTTATTAGGTACAATGAGTTTAAGAATAAGCTAAAAACTGTGATATATGAAAGCTTCACTGTGGATGAGTTTGAAGAGAACAAGTGTGCATTGATTAAGTAGTACAAGCTGGAAAACAATGAGTGGTTGACTTATATGTTCAAAGAGAGACATATGTGGGTTCTGGCCTTCGTGAAAGAGTTCTTTTGGGCCGGTATGAAAACTACTCAAAGAGTAGAGAGCATCAACAGTTTTTTTTGACGGCTATGTGAATCGGAAAACCAAGTTGCATGAATTTCCTAGACAATATAACAGAGCAATGACAAAACGCGTCCAAGATGAAACTGATGTTGATAACAACTGCTCCAAGTATGTTCGTAGGCTAGTGAGTGGTTTCAAGCTGGAGAAGTTGTTTCAACAGGTATACACTGACACAAAATTTCAAGAAATACAGACTGAGCTTTCAAGACTTCTGTATGTTTATTGCCGTGATGAGAAAATGTTGTCCAAGATAGTTGTTTAGAATCTAGTTGAAGATAGAGTATGGATTGTTCCTCAAGGATACAGGGAGGAGATAATAACTGATCGCCGAAGGTTCTATCGTGTCACGTTTGACAGTGTGACCAAAGAAGTGTCATGCGATTGCCGGAAATTTGAAACGTTTGGGATCTTGTGCAAACATATGTTCCGGATATTTGATCAGAACTTGGTTTTTGATATACCTGAGAAATATATACTCACGTTGTGGCGGAAGGATGTAAATCGGAGGCATACAAGGATTAAAGTCCCTTACCATGATCCGTCTCACTGGGCACAAGTGAAGAAATTCTATAAAATGTTAATCACTTTTGAAACTATATTTGATCTTGCTGCATCCGTTGATGATGAAACTGTTCACCATGTCCTGAATTCTCTAAAAAAGCTACAGGGTGAAGTAGCCGCGTTGAAGTAGAAGAAAGATCTTCTCAAAAAAGCTGAAGAAGTTTCTCACTTCCCTGCTGATGGCTCTTAAGTAGAGCAACAGTCATGTGGTGTGGGGTCAACAGCTGCTTCAGTTCAAAAACCATATAACCCCCCTAACTCTAACGACACTCCAACAGCTGCCCAAGAACCTGTAACTGACCTGTCTGTTGATGTTGATAACATCCAGTGGTCTGAACAACATGCACCACCTAGTGCCCCAAAGAACTCGGTTGTTCTTGATCCAATTCTGAAGAAGAAGCGTAGACGGCAACCAAAAGGTAGCAGGAACAAAACTCACGTAGAAACTAGCTACAAAAAAGGCAAAGCCGAAGGAGAAACAACCTGACGTATGCTTTATAATAATTTGAATCCTATCTCTTTTACCAGATAAGTGCACTTGAATAACTTAAGGGGCCGTTTGGTTTGCAGAGGGGAATCACAATGGAATGAAGAAAGGGAATGAAGGAGAAAGGAATGGATTCCCTTGATTTTTTCTAGTTTTTTGGTTGTGTCCAGGAAACGGAATGAACTACTCATTGATTCCCTTTGTGACTGTTTGGTTCAAGCCAGGGAATCAAATTTTGAGTTATTAAATTCTTTTAATTTTTGTTCAAAAATAACTTGTTATTATTTGATAAAACCTGTTTCTTCATGAAACTTGAAGAACCTGTTTTTATTTTTATTTTTGTAAAAAATATGCCATCAACCTGTATCATCTTTTCCTGTAATATGTAAAAAAAACATAATATATCTCCAAATAATATCTTTCTAGCTCTATTGATTACAAATCCAAGTAATCACCTCTTGGCGAAAATAATACCAATGCAAAGTACGTGTTCCTAAATAAATGTTCATACCAAAAGTGTTCTAATAAGATTAACATTCAACCTAAGTATTTGCTAATAATCCTTTCTAGATAAAGTTCATGCCAAAAGTAGTAGCTTGTGAATAAAACCTAATTAAAAACCATACATGAAACCACCACATAAGATTTAAGCATCACCATTTCCACTTCCTCGTAGAAGACTCTTAACATAAGCACTTTTCAAAACGTCGGGACACTTTGAAAATACCATGAGCTTGTTTGGTTGTGCGGTTAGAATGTTAGCCACTTCAAAAACTTGGGATTCCGTGACACCTTCTAAATTGAAAGAGAGTAGTTCCTCTAGCACTTGCTCACTCTTTTCAACTAATTTTTGCTCTCTTTCATCCGCATGTTGTTCACGATCATCAGTGCGTGCCATCACATTTGCCATAGTGGAAAGATGAACATTCATGTCTTTCATGAATGCTTGTAAGCTAGCCAACTCATTACTTCCAGCTCCACCTTTTTCTTTCTTTTTTTTTTTTGGAAGTTTTTTCAGTCTTCATCTTTTTTGAAGGAGGAAAGGTAACGGTATGAGTGACATTACCACTAGCAGCAACTCCCTTATCATCACTTGAATAGAGTAAAACCTGTGGGGGGCTGGTTTTCCAGTTGCATAATTCTTGCCATAAACATTCATGAGTTCATGGAAGTGGGGAAATGAAACTCCATACAAGTTTTTGCAGCTTGGATGTTTCTGAAAAACACAAAAATTCCCAAAATGCTCAAATATACAACATCATGAGGTACCTCAAACATAATTTAAATGACATTCCACATAGGAGTTCTCATGCAAATAAATGTGATAATGACAGGGGCTAAGCTTATGGGAGCACAATATATAAAGGACATAACAATATAATCAAATATAATACAACAGAGGATAGATAAATGAGCATAATCCTGCATATTATACCTTATTTCCCTTCCATAACATAAATGATCATAATGTTTACAGGGACATCGCTTAATAGCCAAATCCTTGTGTACAGGGAGATTCTTACTCTACACTATTATAATAATTTCTCAATTATAAGTAACATCACAGCCTGAACACCATGAAGCCTTACCCTTAGTTTCTGTTTCATAATGTTTCTCATAGTGGCAGGTTAGTCTAAAGCTCTAAACTATAGTTCCTATTCAAAACATAGTTCCTGCTAGCACTACAAACAAAATCATGAAATCAGATTTTTTTTTAAAAAAAACTGATGCGCTTGTATAAATAGTTCCTGCTAACTATAGTTCCTATGCTTGCTTGTATAAATAGTCCTTCAAATCTTTATAAAAATAGCAAAAATGCTAAGCATCCACAACCATTGGAATATAAACAAAAATACCAAGTATTCAAAATAAGAGTTCATGACCTTAAAAAAGTTATCATACCTTGCAAAACTCATCATAAACAGCCCGGTCCACAGAAACCATTTTTTTTGGAATCATCCCAAACAAATCCACTTGTATTTAACGTAGTAGAAATAGCCCTAAACTTTGCTCCAAGTGTCTTTAGTCGAGAATCGATGTGTGGCATAGCCTTCAACCCACAACCAGAAAGAGCCTTACCTATGATCTCCTCTAAGCAAACCATGTAGCCACTTCTGAACCCATTTTCACACTTTCAATGAGGATCAATAGCTAGCTCTGACAATACTTCTACAAGAACTTTATCTTCTTGAGCGGTCCAAAATCGTTTATTTTTTCCCTTTCCACCTCCACTACTTTCATCCATCCTACTAAAACATTTGAACCATATTAACATGTCAAAATAACATTGCATATATATAAAAATGAAATTAACAAACAAAATATTCAATACAAGTACATAAAGGAAATTATTATAAGTCCAACACAACATCCATGACTTAGTACAACAATAAAAAAAAAACACGAAATTGAAATAAAGATACAAGTCTCAAGTTCAAATAACAAATACAATGTTGTTTAATAAACAATAAAAATATCACAAAGTAACTCTGCGGTGTCTAGTCCTCCAATCATTGAACATATTTTGGGCCATTGTATTTTGAAAATTAGTCCATGGATCGGTTACAGCAATGGAGGTTATGTACTCCACATCATCTTCATCACTAGCATTACCATCATCATCATCACTATCACTTTCCTCAAACAAGTCATCATCATCAAATTCTTCAAGCATGTATCTTTTTACCAAGTTATGTAATAAGACACAAGCAAGCACAATTCGACCATGAGTTTGTAACCTAAACCAAGAAGGACTTCTAAGAATTCCCCATCTTCCCTTGAGTATCCCAAAGCATCTCTCAATCACATTTCTAGCTTTTGCATGCCTTAAGTTGAAATATTATTCGACGGTTTAAGGTTGACGGGGGCCATTATTCCATTCTCTAAGATGATAAAGATGCCCTATATATGGTGCAAGGAATCCCTCTCCATTAGTATATCCTCCGTCACATAGATAATAACAACCTTGACAATTTTTTTTTTAAAAATTACTCTCTTATTAAGTCAATTTCAAATAAAGTCTACTACGTCAATCAAATTACCTTTTGGAACTTTCAACCCATTAGGCCTAGAAATAGCATCTTGAAGAATCTGACCATCATGTGCCGATCCCTCCCAACCAGGTAAGACATATATAAATTCCATTTCGGGTGAGCATACTCCTAGTACATTCATAGCAAGGGTACCTTTTCTAGTGCGATATTTGGATCGATCTTCACAAGGAACATTAACTAGAATCATTGTACCATCAAGGGCACCTAATGAGTTCTACAAAAACAAACAATATCACTTTAAATTATGTAATATTCTCTCTATTTTATCTCAAATTAAAGTGTTGGTTTTTTAATTTACCTTGAAATATTTCCACCTTTCATCGTCGCAATCCTCTTGTATTGGAGTTGGTTTCTTAAGAAGAATACTATGTAACTTTAACATTGCTAACAAAAAAGAATGAAATTGTCTACTAATAGTTTCACCACTTCTATAAAAATGTGCACCAATCATTCTATTTTTCTTATCGTGAGCTAATGTGTATAAGAAGCCCGCAACCATCTCTTCCAAACATGTGTTTCTTGTTTCATTGAATCCACCAATATCTCTAACCATTTCTAAAAGTACACCAAATGTGTATCGATTTATACGAAAATAGTTCCTACACAAAGTGTCACTTTCTCTAATCATTCTATTCAAGTTGTGCAATCTCATTTTCCTTCTATTTTTTTTATCTAGCTTAAGATAATGGGAATTGTATATAGTTTTTCTCATTGAGTAACACATCAAATTTAGCAACACAACACAATTAATCATAGTAATTATGAACCGAATAAAGTCCCAATTTCTCTTCCTTTTCAAAGAAGTATCAATTCTAGCCATTTTCTGTAGAAAAGAACATCAACAACAACATATCATTGACTAATTTACATATCATTTATACTCAAGATATATAAAAATCTCAAGCTAAACAAATATATACATATACATGAACATTAGTATATATAAACATCAAATTATCATTCATTCAAGGAGGAAAAAAAATCAACAAATATACATTGTTTCGTAATTCACAACCAAAAAAAAATCAGTATGGTAAACCCTTCAAATCGCAACACTGAACAACAAATTAACATCAATCACTATGGAGGTGGCTGATAACGTGAACAATTCCTCAAGAATTAGGAATAATGTATAAATTACCCAACAATTTAAGAATAAAACAAAAAAACAACATGATTAAGGTAGATCTAGAACGAAAACATGAATATTACGGTCGCCAAAGATCGTAGCTTGTGGGGATCGGCCGGATATGGTCGCCGGTGTACAATCTCAGTTGGTTGTCGTGGTGGCCGGAGCTCCGGTGAGGGGTGACGGCTGCTGGGAATTTTTTAGGGTAAGAGAGGAGAGAGAGTGATGGGTAATGAGAGGGGAATGGGAATGGTAAAGTTGGAGGGGGGAGGGAGGGGAATGGGTGTAAAAGATATTTGGGTAAACACAAAAATTAAAAAGGGTAAAGGAAATGATAGATGATGACAAATAAATAACAACAAAGGGAATGGGGCCTATTCATTCCCTTTCCTTTTGATTATACCCCCCAACTAAACGGCCCCTTATTGTTTGTTATTTTGCAGCCTGCTGCTCAATTTATTCTCGACACCTACTACCCATCGTCTTTTAACGGGAATTTAATGGTAAACCCTTATTCTTGTTATGGTTGTAATTATTCTACATTATAAGTTGCTATTTTTATAGATTTTTGTTAGTAATTCATAAATACATTCCTCCTTCCCAGGAAAAGAGGAAACGTTGGCTGGAAGAACATCATGTGGAAGAGAACATGGAGGAGAATGATGAGCCTAACGACGATGACAGTGAATGTAATCCTCAAATGGATGATGGTGGCACAGACAGCGGTGAGGATTCTTTTGAATTCTGAAATTATAAATTGGTATCTGGACAGACATGGCAGGATGAACCACAGTAGCTATTGAGTGACCAATGTACTTTTGAGGATTGTTTGTATGCCTTTTGTATGTCACAACGTTGAACTTATTGTTGTGCGCGTCCAATGACGGGGGTTTAGTTTTTGTCTTATCGATACTGTATTAGGAATGAGTAAAATCATATCTTACTCATGTTGGGTTTGTTTCCTGTGATTTTTGATTCATCTGTTGGCTTGTGCCTTTGCTTTTGAATCATTTTTAATCTTGAAATTGTTCGTTTGGGTTAGATATCATGTATAGCCCATTTCGAACATATAGAATTACTTGCTGGACTTTGACCCATGGCCCATACCAATTATGGGGTCTTTAAAAAGGCCGGTAAAAGAACCCATGGGTTGTGGCCTCAATTTTACAACAGTACAGATTAGATTAAGGGATCAACATGCATTCATTGTAAATGAAATGGGCTGGGCTCGAACATCATTTTGACCCAACCTCATTATTCTCCACGGCTGGCTGAACCATAGGAGGTGCTTAGGGGAATTGCACAACTCTTTGTGGAGAACTGCACTTGGAATCTTCATGTAATCACATAGCTCATTCCCCGCTATAGAAATATTCAACCTTATTGAATTCTAATTCAGACTTGGTTGTAGAGTTTACAGGTTTTAAGTACATTTTTGGATGTTTAGGGTGATATTGCACCACCTTCAACCTACTTGCGAGTTATAGTTGTGCATTTTGAGAGGTGATGGAATTTCGATTCCCAAACATGGTTGCTTAGGGGTAAGTAAGGTGTCTTCACTAATGAACTTTCATAAGCAATACGAGACACTACAAGTTGTTTGTGGGGTCCAAAAACACAGGACATGTCATATAGTTTAATTATTTTATATACTGATTTATTTATTGAGTTTATAAAAAATATATTTTTAAAAAATTATTAATGAAAATAACTAACTTATGATGTTGTTTTGTCATACACTGATTTGGTATTAACATGATTACTAAAGAATATTATTATTAAAATGATTAATACATTTAATAAAATATTGATAATTAGTATTAACATGCTAATTTTATTTAAATTACTAAATAATTTTAATAAAATAGATTAATTATTATTTTTACTTTATTTATCGAATTATTTTAAAAAAAAAATTAAAGATTCAATATCAATTTATTAAACTCATTTTAGAGATTTTACAAATAGATAAATTTTACAATAAATAAAGAAAAAGCAACTCTGCACACCAATAGGGGTTGGTTTAGTGCAATACAAGCTACCTCCCCTAGAGCCTACTCCTACTTCTAAAAAAATATATGAACAGTACAAAATCTACTTTTTAGATTACCCATGAACACTTTCTTTATTTTTCCGTAATAAGGCCGGTGCATAACTCAGACATTGTACTATCCTTTGCTTGTTATAAGGCTTATGCATGTGACTAGTTCTTGCTTGAACTTATCATCAATTTGATTTGCTATTTTCAACATATTTGCATTTTTCCATTGTTTCTCATTCAATGGCACATAGAGGTAAAAAATGCAACTGCGGCCTCCCTGTTTCAAAGAGAACTTCATGGACTCATGATAACCCAGGTAGGAACTTTAACCGAATAATTTTCGTCACGCAAATCAAGACATTAGATATTTAAAAGGGGTATTATAGTCTTTTCCTTAATTATTTTAACTTAATGAAATACTTTTTTAACGGTGTTAGTCACCGTTGGGAAAAAAACTAAACCTTGGGTGTACCGATGGGAAGAAAAAAATTTTGAAGTGTATCAATGGGAAAAGTCAAAACCACGGGTGTACCAATGAGAATTTCCCTTTTTTTTTATTTAGCTTACAATTATTTTTTCGTTGCATCTTAAAAAAAAACCGAAAACATCAATTGAATAAATGCATTTGAACAAATAGAAAATTAATTTCAATTGCTTAATGTAGCCTAATATTGGGAAAAGTAAAAAAAAAATTCATTCGATTCCACTTTAAATTTTATGCAATTATAAATTCATAAATTCAATCTCCCAAACTTGTAAGTTAGTCAATTTAAATCATACAATTAATTAAGCATTGATCTTGCAAAACCGTGGACAAAAAGACCTCATGTTTCCTTTAATGTTAAACTATAATCCGTCTCGACCATAAAATAGTAGAAATTAACCTAACAATAGGTAATTATTTTTATGATAAATCAACAATTTTATGTGGCTAGAACTAAGCAATGTGACCGTCTAAATATAATGTATTAAGTAGTAAATAGTAGCACTGAAGGCGTGCCTGCCAATTTAGGTATGTTGAGTATGGACCTTGTGATAATGTAAGTGTTATTGTGTGTTGAATTCTTTATTTATGTGATTATAACAATCCATATAGCAACGATAACAACTTAATAAAAATAGAACAATCCAAACAAGAATTTTAATACAATAAGTAGAGTTACAAATTAATAAAAATAACAAGTCCAAGGATCATGTATTCAAAATACACAAACATAAGTCAATGATCCATAGAGTTACTAATTAATAATAATAACAAGTCCAAGGATCGTGTATTCAAAATACACAAACATAAGTCAATGATCCATAGAGTTACTAATTAATAATAATAACAAGTCCAAGGATCGTGTATTCAAAATACACAAACAAAAGTCAATGATCCATAGAGTTACTAATTATTAATAAAAACAAGTCCAAGGATCATGTATTCAAAATACACAAACAAAAGTCAATGATCCATAAAGTTACTAATTATTAATAATAACAAGTCCAAGGATCATGTATTCAAAATACACAAACAAAAGTCAATGATCCATAGAGTTACTAATTATTAATAAAAACAAGTCCAAGGATCATGTATTCAAAAATACACAAACAAAAGTCAATGATCCGTAGAGTTACTGATTATTAATAATAACAAGTCCAAGGATCATGTATTCAAAATACACAAACAAAAGTCAGTGATCCATATAGTCATAAATTTGAAACTAGACGAGCAATTGATTAAAACCACAACCACGTCACTTTGCTAACTTGAAAGGATCAAGTGAATGTAATGTTTAATAGCGGTGGTTCTATAACTTCTAATTCAACAAGAACCTTTTCACTGAGTTCAATCTCTTCACCCGCATACATTTCTGAAACTCCTTTTCGGATAGAGCACTCTACAATCTTCTTGTTGTTGTCCGAACTTAAAGCGCATTGTTGCATGCCATTTCCGATGGACATACAGTACAACAGCAGTGGGGTCTTTAAGACCTTGGAAATGTTCTCGGGCAAAGGGTACCGAAATGTTCTGTACCACATTCAACATCAAAATAAGATAGAATAGTTATACACCAACAAATAAGATATGATAAACAAAAATAATAAGATAGCATAAACATTATTAACCAAGATATGATAACATTGATAATCTGTAACAGATAATAATAATTTCCTATAAACAGTGATGATATGAGTATTACGATCTTTGGTTTGTCAATGTAACCTTTGGTGAATGTGAATTTGAAGGAGGGTGGCTTAAAAAAAAGCTCCGTGGGCACATACTCTGTTGAGTCGGCATCACTTATTGCATCGTCATTCTCTATGATTACACGAGGATCAACAACTGTAATTTCTTTTTCGGAACCCCAAATCCTAACCCGATACAACATTTCATCCTTGTCCTCTAACAGTAACTCAATGTGGTCGAGAACGCGTAACTTGTTAGAGGTGACAAACTCACTCCAGCCTTCACCTAAAAAACCCTTGAACTTCCCAGGACCCTTAAAGACATGTCTCAACCGCAAGGGTACACTTTGTTCTCAGTACCGCGGTGAAGGTGTAACACACCTTTTGCACCATCTTTCTTAGCCCATATATCTTGTAGTTCCTTATTCATTCGGTTTGGAATAGGCTGGTAACATATAAAATTGCCCCGGTTTAGTATTAGCAATCAAATAGCCATCGCGATAATCTTATAATTGTATGGCAAATTCACTTCAATGTTAAACAATCGATGAGTATCGATTGTGAGTGAATTCAAATGCCCAAGCTGACATTCCTTTCCTATAGCACTTGCATTGTGTAGGAACATTAAGACAAGGTCAAATATTATTGAACTTATACTGTAATCGATAATGAATTGTAAATAGCCAAACAATAGGTACATTACATCATGAAAGAGATACTTAATATGGAGTGCATATAGCCAAAGTAATCCTAAACCAGGACAAAAATCACCCTGGACTTTTATACTCACGAACAAAAAGACTGACTTGTTCTTTTTCCTGACATATGATTAATTTATACAATTCATTTCCATATTCAGATTAGTATGTACTCAAGGTTCTTGAATAGCTAGCCAACACACTTCCTATTGAGCTAGGGTTGTCAGAATTTAGATTTTTTACTTTTGTGGTAGATCTAAAACAATAACACCCCTTTCTTACTTGTTTAAATGGAGTTAAGGGTAACTAGGAGATGATTATACAAAATTGAGTAACACAAACAAACCCCGCAACCCAAAACCCGCTAAAAATAGAGTAAATACTGCCCCCCAATTTGCAATTAACAGTAATTCTCAACCATCATAAGTTAATGGGCACTTGAAACAACTGATTATTGCACTAACTTTGGATAATTCGACAATCAATTGACAAATATAATTGCTAACAAGTTGCATGTATAGTTAAAGCATTTTCGAACAAGAGAGCAACCCTCTTTCACTATGAACATAAAAACCAAAATACTATCAAATTTCAACTGAATTATGTTATCAAATAGCAGAATAATACATTCTAGGAACAACCATAACGGAAGTGAAAGGAAATGTAAGGGAAACATACCTGATCAGAGCTGATAGTAATCGAATTTGAGCTGGGCCGGCAAAAGGGGAAGTGGAGAAAGTGCTTTTAGTAGATATTTGGGGTAAATTTGGTGGAGTTAGGGTTATTTTAAAGTGAATCTAATAAATTAATAAAGAAAATTGCAAATTTATAAATAAAGACTAAAATTGGAACTTACTAGTGTAACTGATAAATTGTTTAATATATACAATACTAATATTGAGGATAAAAATTATTACCTTTAAATATTAATATAGTGCATATTTAATCCTTCAAAATGTTAAAACATATTTTAACTCTTTAAGGAACTCAATAAAATTTCTTCATGCTTAACTCACCAAATACACAAGCCATATATAGAGGCTACCAAACAACAAATAATAAGCCTAAAAAAATTTAAATAAATGTCGTGATAAAACCCAGTAACAAACCTGTTAATTGCTAAATTCATTTGACTTAACGTAACATAATGTAACATAATACTCCTAAAATTACTGGACCAACTATGGACATTAGGGGTGAAAGTTCGGTTTGCGGTTTGGATTATAGCCTAAACCGAATCCAACCCGACTTAATTTAATTTCGGAAATCTTAATTCGATTCCAAACCAATTTAAGATTCAATCCAATCCAAACCAAACCAAATTAATTTGGTTTTTCAAATTAGGATCCAATCCAAACCGAAATTTGTTCCCTTCTTTTGCAACATTCAAACCCGAAACCCAAATTTCACCCACAAAATTCCTACAATCTTTTCTTGTTAACTACATTCTTTGTGACAGAGTAAGATATTGAGAAAGGAGAACTGAAAATTAGGTTTTTTTATTTTTTATTTTTTTTAAGTTTATATATTTGAAAGGATAAAATGGTTGGATACTTTGAAAAAAAAAAAATTGGCTTAAAGTAATGGGTCAAATTTGGTATGTAATTCGGATTTCGGTTTTTTAAACCCCAAATAAAATCCAATCCGTGGTCCATACTTTTTAATTTATCCAAACCGATCCAACCCGAATTCTAAAAATATTCACACCTCATTACTAATTCGGTTTGGTTTTCGGTTGGATTCAGTTTTAATCCGAATTACTTACACCCTCTAATGGACATACTCACGAAAAACAACATAAGAAATCAAAAGTAGTAAAATAAATCATAACCAAAAAAAATTAAAAAAACAAAACACAAGGCATGAAAAATGTGGTCAGGTGGTCTCGAACCCAAGATCCAAGAGAGGAGCCTCGTGCTCTATTAAACACTCCCTTACTTTGTTTGATAAAAAATTGTTGTCTAACTTAAATCACTAACAGCAGAAAAACCTCAAATAACTGTGTTTTATACCAAAATAATAATGATTTACTTTAAAAACAAACAATAATTAACTAAATAATGATCTGTGACTTGTTCACTATAGACACCCATTTGTGTCTCCCCAAAACCAAACCCAGTGATGAATACCTTTTGCGTCGAATCATAATCAAATGAAGTGAAAGTGTGAAAAGTCTAATGTTGCAGTTATTAGTTTTTATAGAAAATCTTTCTTTCTGTTTTCGAAAAACCTACTCTATTTTATGAAAATAGCCAGTCCAGTTCAGTTTGGTCCATGACGAGGGTCGAATAATGGTGTAGTTGGATGGGGCTCGAAAAGAGCTTTCCAACGATATATTATAAGCCTAATTCCGATGAATAATGAGGAAATTATGGCCAAATTACTAAACTGGGCCCAGTTTGGTTTTTATATACGGCCCAATGATTTAGAGGAAGGCCTATTATTAATTATCATTCCTAAAACTATTAGGATTGATTATAGTCTTCTAGAATTGTGTAGAAGGTTTTTTTTTTTTATCCTATTAGGATTAGGATTGATAATTATGTATATGAGTTTTACTTGGAATAAATTAAGTGTTTTATGTGAAAATACGATTTTAGCCTTCGTACGGATTTTACGACTCAATTTTATCGAGAAGTGGATTTCGCATTGAAAACGCGTTGAAACCTCTTGCACCCCCTAACAACAGGTTCGTCACCTGGCGCTGGTGACAAGTTTGTCGCCTAGCGATGAGCTCTGTCGTCGGCGACAGGATGTAATTTTATTCCTTTTCGAACTCTTACTCTTTTCTATCAATTTCGGACTATTTTCTTATAAATAGGGTCCTTGGACCTCCATTTTGAATCATCAATTCTCAACCAGAATTCTCTAATTTTTCTCTCTCTCTAAGCTAAAGCTTATTCTCTCCCTCTTTCTAACCAACCCTTTTACAAACACAATACCGCACTCATTAGCACTAAACGCACCTAGCCAAGTTCGAAGTTCATTCGCCCTAGACGTGAAAGGTTTTGATATTTCTGAGGGTCTGGTCCCAAATCCCTATTTAAATTATTTAATTTAATTGTTTGATTTATTATTTTCCTTGAAGTTACTAACGTGTGTATTTTGTTATTAGAAAGAGGTACGAGACATCGAAGTAAGTACTTTAATTGATTTATTGATCTTTAGATATAGAAAATCATATTTAGATTATTATTTTGATTCCTAGTATCATGTTAGGATGTTTTAATTTGTTGCTTCCTAGTATCATGTTTAGGGTAATAATTAAGTTTCTTATATCAATTATGATTTCTGTGATGCTTCCTATTTTCTTTCCTAATTTCATGTCAGTATCATGTTAGGGCTAAAGCTTTGATTTTTATTGTTTAGTAACATGCTAGGGTTTGTTATTAATCCTGTTAGTATCATGCCTAGGATCTTGCCAATATTATGCTTTAACATGATTATTTTAATTATGATTGTTATTTAATTATGATTATTATTATGATTATTATGTTGCTTGATATATATTTGTTGTTATTGCTTGATCACGCCTTTTATGCATGTTTAAAGGGAATTTGTACTTGTAATCACGCTTAATAAGATAATTAATAATCTTGTTTAGGCTAATTTGATTATAATTCAAGTGATCGCCAATAATTGGTTTATTTGTACATTAAATTCAACCAACATAGATAAACAGGTTTAGGGTTAACTTATTGATTGCATGGTAGTCAGAAAGCGCACATGAATACGAGAAGAATAATATAGAGGCCTATTATTAGGGCAGGTTTAATCTCATTTAGGATGGATTTGTACCTTCATTCCCGAACTTCCAATTTTGGTTCTAGACCTATTGGAGTTAACGATCTCCTGGATCGTTAAGGGGTGTAACCTTCACCCTGTGAACGGTTTCCAAGTTTCTAAAACTTGTTGGCAACTCTTTTGCTCTAGCTTTTTTCTCTTTGGACGTCACCATGCTTAAATGTATGATCACAGTGGGGTTCAACTTTGGGGTAATGCTTGAAATATTCCCTACATTCACTGATCAATGTCACATGAATTTTCATGGCATAATTGTTTTATCTTTTAAATTAAAAAAAAATAACAATATGATTTTTTAAAAAAAGTAAGAAAAAATACATTTACTTTAAATTGGCGCCAAACATATTTATTTACTAATTAGTGGAGTTGGCGCCAAACCAATTCACTATTCCCGCCCATGTACAGACAACAATAATAAATGTTGTTATAAAAGGCAACATGCAACCCAGCACATACTCCATCAAACACAACCCTTTCATTAAGTAAAAATTCTCCCTTAAATTTCAGTATCTACTCATCAATTCTCAATATGGATAATACCTCCCACATACAAATAAATCCATCTTCCATCAAGCCTATCAAACGCAAGTCAAATTTTCTCGAAACATCTAATAGCCAATGCACCAACAAAAAGCTTCGGGTCATTGCAGTACCAATTGTTTGGTGTTAGCAACTAGAGCAAAGAGCATCTAATCAAGTGTTTGGTGTTAGCCAAATGGGGCGTAGTCTGGCAGGCGTGTTGCAGTCTAGAAGGGTAGGTGTTTGCTGGGGCCATAGACGTCAAGAATGAGTACAAGTCTGATAGAGGGGAAATATATGTTTTATAGAATTGTAGGCACATGGCTCGCCAATCTTTTCTTCAAAACTTATGCAAGCTTATTGAGATGAATATGCCTGATACTATATTTCTAACAGAAACACGAGTCTCGGTTGAAATGGCTAGGATGATTAGCCAAGATTTGAATGCATTCTGGATTTACGAAAAATCCATTATAGGGTTGATTAAAGGTGTCGTGATAATAACTTTTACAAAGTCTTTGAAGTTCCAAATTTCAGAAGACGGTGGACTGAACCGTATATCTTGGCTTGTAGTCCATGAAGACAATGGCCAGTAAACCGAAAAGAGCAAGGTCGCACAATTATCCCAATGAAATATATCTATAAGCCTACTTGTAGACACCCATTTGTGTCTCCCCAAAACCAAACCCAGTGATGAATACCTTTCATGTCATTTGATTATCGAACAAGGTGAAAGTGTGAAAAGTCTAGTGATGAGGATGTTTTTATTAAAATATATCTTCTTTTTGTTTTTGAAAATATTTCTTTTCTTACCCTATTTATGAAAAACGTGCATTCTAGTTTAGTTTGGTCCATGATAAGGGTCCAATAATAGTTTAGTTGGATAGGGATCGAAAAGAGTTTTCCAACAATATATTATAAGCCCAATTCCGATGAATAATGAGGAAGTTATGACCAAAATACTAAACTAGGCCCGGTTTGGTTCTTACATATGGCCCAATGATCTAAAGGAGTGCCTATTATTAATTATCATTCCTAAAGCTATTAGGATTGATTATAGTCTTCTAGAATACTCTAGAAGGTTCTCTTAAATCCTAATGGAGTTAGGATTGATAATTATGTTTCAAAGAGTTGGAATTGAAAAAAACTACTCCTTTTGAGAATCCTTGTTTTGTACAAAATGGAATATATTCATATATTATTTTTGTGCTACATAATATTTGTCCAAATTTTATATGGCTGGATATATCTTGAAATTATCTTTCCAATGATATATTATAATATTAAATCTGAGCTATAACGAAAAAGATATGAATGGAATATGAAACTCTAACCAAAATTGATACCCATCTACTATTTTGGCCATATCTTTTTATCTACAAAATGTTTTAATTTGATTCTAATTGGATTGGAAAGTAGACTTCAAGAGTTTTCCATATAAATATTATATGCCTTATTTGGACTTCTGGATCAAAA